ATACCTAAGAGGTGTTGGTGCGGGGAGAGCATCACCGAGCTTATCTCCAAATCCGGTCCAAATCCATATCGCCGGTATTATCGGTGTCTCGATGCGGCAAAAAAGAGGGTAACGTCCGTTTAGCTTTAGTTATCGAAGGGTTGTTCTCTTAAATATTTTGAACAAAATGTTGGAATGTTGTAGCTTGAGAACGGCGATCACGTATTCAAATGGGTCGACGAAGCTTTCACTGATGAGATTGAACAGTTGGAGTACCAAGTTTGAATGCTAGAAGAAGAAGTTCAATTGCTCAAAGTAACGACAACAATAAGCAGTGAAGGTCCCAAAATAATGTCTAAGATAATGATATCAGGATGTTGTGTTGTTAGTATCATCATTGTCATTGTAGTTCTCGATCGAATTATGATGTACAAGTGATTCCTAAAACTAGTGACTTTGTCAAACGTTATGTTTTGTCTAAGTTTTTTGTAATTTATTCGAAGTAAACATTATGTTTGTCTAATTTTTTCTTTATTTTCTCTTAAGTTATGCGAACTTAAACTACTACGAATTATGGTCAATTGAAAAAGTTTCTCAAATGTTTACGATGTTGGACACTTAAGAAATTGAACCTAACACAAAATTTGGCATGGTTATACGAACACCAACTTTCAAGTTAAGTTGAACTACTAAGAAGTTTGATAAACTTATAAGTTTCTCCAATTTTTACGATGTTGGACAATTGAGAAATATAACCTAACACATATTTGACCTGGTTATGCGAACACGGACATCATGTTGACTTCAAGTTATTCTTAGGTTCACACACTTAATTGGACAATTACAAGAGTTAAGAAAACCATTTTTAATACACATTAACCCAGTTCAACCTTACAAAGGCCCTATAGCTCCGTACTTCCGAACATAAGGGTCACTGTTATTGACCGATTGTCTGAACTCCTCTGCCTCCGGCAAGTGCGGATTGAACCTGAAGTCAGATAATCCACCTCGGTCTAAAGCCTTTCTTCTATATGACCATAATAAGCTGTATAAATGAGTTTAGAGAAGGTTTTAGTCAACTAACACATTTAAATCTGAACGCATAAGCATAAACTTCACTTACAGAAATAGTCGCGGACCCTCCACATCTTAAGGACCACAATCACCTGTCAACGACCTCCCTTGTTTTCAAACCCTTGCTGGAAGGCATAAGCATGTTTCCCAGTTGCCACACATTTTATCTCACTCTCACTATGATGAATAAAACAAGGTGAGTCAATTACACTAATGCAAACATTTTGTTTTGATCATATGTTACTTAATACTTATATGTTGTCCCTTATGTAAAACACCAACTTTGGTCCTTCAGGATCATTGAAATGGGCTTCCGTCTTAAAGACCACTCCCATTGTATCTACCAGATAAGTATATTCGATTCCATTACTTACATATGAAATATATTTATTAGTAGAATTCATACCTATGGAAAAATTTCTCTCCTTGTAGCTCATGTGAGGGATTTCATGAATGCCTTTGAACTCGAAGTAAAGATGATCGTTCAGAGGATCGAAGATGTGGATTTGGTATCGCCAGTAGCATTTAGTGAAAATTTGGATTTTGCTGCCTTGAAACCTGAATGGGCACGACCAACTTCTACAATAAATATTTCCACCCATTTTCCCTCTTGCTTCTCTAGGCCTCTAAATCTATCTCCATATATATCATAGATGGTCATCTCCATCTTGGTTCCCTACATAAATTAAGTTCAACGAGCGACTTATATTTCCATTGTAGTTATTAGAAACTTGAGAGATGATGATTTTGTAGTTACATGTTCATCTGCTAGGACATAAACATGGTGTGGTTCTTTGCCGGTAACATAGGAATAGAAATGATAGATCCTTATGCTTTTCACTCTGAAACGCCAACGCTGGACCTTCTCGTTATAAACAACTTCACCAAGAGTATTGTAGTGTTCTATATTTGAAAGATGATGAATTATTTCTTTGCGGTGAAATGTTTATAGATATAAAGGAGACGATTTAACTTAACTTACTGCGGTGGAGTGGAGATTAAATTGAGGGGTTCTAGAATTGAATGCAAGTGTAATGATGATCTGGTTTAGTGTTGTGAGGTTTAAATGAAGCGTAATAATGATCGTAGGTGACTGTTAGTGTGAAAAGTTGTGTCTTTCTTATTGAACTCAACTTGTTGAGTTGGGGTAATAAATCCAAAAATTATGGGGTGAAGGAGAATGGACTGTCTATCAAATCACTCTTAAATGAAAGAGTTACAACTTTTTGTTGAGGTAATAAATCATTATTACAAAAATTAAATTACTTTTCATTTATTATCCCCTATATTTCTTACTGAATAATACATTTATTTTTTATAGGTTTACATAGTTTCATATATTTACACTGTCAAAATTGTTGCACTATCTGAATTGTTAAACGATTTCTTAGTTTCATATATTTAGACAATCTAACTAAGCGGTTTCACTTAGTTTCAAAAAGTTATTTATTTTTATCATTTAAAGTTTTACAAAGTTTTAAATCCAACGCATGCGACTGTTGCAGTCAGAAGTCGTGCCTTCTCGAGACCTCCATCAAATCACCCTTTACTGCCGTGATACTTACAATCTTATCTCTTCTCCACTGTTATAAAATGATATATCATTTTTTCCAAATAAATAAAACGTTAATCTTTCTATTTACGTGATAAAACAAATATCTCACCATGTCGAACTCTAACTTGGCTTCTCTCCCTCCTTCCATGCTTCATAAGATTCTCTCTAAGGTAGCATCAAACCATCTCCGGGACTTCAGTAGTGCAAGAGTTGCATTACCCGCCTTCAATCAAATTGGCAGAGAAGAATACTTCTACAAATCTGCAGATCTTATTCACTTCAATGACTGGATTGATGAGGTTAATGCTGCCAGAACATACAGGCTTAAGTGCTACCAAGCCGGTAATCTACAAGCCATCTGCATGCGAGGTATGTATGAGTTCTTCATCCTCCATTTACTTGATCAAGGAAGGTAAAAATTCGTCTTGCTGGTGAGAATGAATTTTTGTTGGTCTACGTTGATGATATGCTCAACTTAGCATTTAGTGTTGATGATAGAGGAGTGGTTCACAACTTTCCTACTTTTACACGTGAGTTTGCCGATCAGATGAATCACATACTCGCTACTGAGGTATCCTCAGGTCATTGGAGTTACGAAAATCCACAGATCTTTATGTCTCTATTGGAAAAGATAAATTCCAACATATAATTGCTGGTGCTCTGAAATTATACCATGCAATCATTGTTTCTGGCAATGTGCAGTTTGGGACTTCTGTAATGATATTCATTTGACCGCTGCTCACTGACCAATTGAAGATTAGAGATGAATTATTTTCGTGTATTTATAAGTTGTTTATAAGTAATTTATGTAAAATACATTTCCCTTACCTTAATCTATAGTTTTAATTTATTTTAATTTCACTAAATATATCAGTAATATAATGCAAATAAATAACTATTTTATATGTCTTGGATTAACTGTAATCAAAGTTGAATCGATATGTAATCACTAAATATATCAATAACATATTGTAAATGTACATGATACAATGAAAATTTGTTGAAGGTTTACTAAGTTGTATAGCTACTACAAGTGTGAATTAGTTCAACTTAGATTACAATTACACTTACACCAATAATTACACAAAATTTCAGTAATGTTTCTGAAGTTATGGACATTGGAGATCCGAATTTTATGATTCGGGTTTGGATGGTCCGCAAAATACTCCTGGTTGTCTTGAAATCATTCCAGTTTCTTCGGTGTTCTAATCTTTTACTAAAACTAGTTGCATACCCCCGCGCAAGCGCGGGACCGAGATCATTGATTTTTGCTTGTGTTTTTTCCTGGTTGTTGGTTTAGTGGGTTATTCTAATAATACCAAATAATAATGAAATGGAAAGAATGTATCAAGAGTGTAAAGTGAAAATATTGTATATATAATGTGTTAAATGTTATTTATATGCGAAGTAACATTTTATAGGGATAACTAAATTATAATATAGTTTCTAGTGTATAAAAATAGGTGTCTATCTTTATTTTTATGCTGGAAATAGTTTTTATATCGGAGATCAAAACTTGATATAATTATTTATTTATAGTATTTATATTTGTACTAAACGATTTATCAATATCAAAATAACTTTAATTTAAGCTAATATTTGTTGTTTGGGTTTCAATTGATAGGTTTGGATATGTTTTTTTGTAAGTTTGGATTTTTTCATGAATAATGTGGCATTTTTATTTACGGCGTCATCGACTGTGGAAATCCATTAGCCAGAGTCTGTTAAAAATGAAATTATAGTAACTATTAAAAATTGAAATGAAATTACATAGTTATTTTATAAATAACAAAAAATACATAAATTTTTTTGTTTTTATTTTATTTCACATACATAATTTTTTGAAAATATATATTAGGAAATATGTTCTAACATAAAATATATATTAGGACATGATAGTGTCGTGTGGGACTCGTTTTTGTTTTTTGTTTTTTGATTTTTGTTTTTTGGGCTGTTTGTTTTTGATCCTTTTTAAATTGTTTTTGGGTTTGAATTTGTCAAACTTTAGGATTTTTTCTACTATTTTGGGCTTTAAACAATAAGTCCAGAGGTAAAAAACATACAAACATTAAAACTAAAAAGTCTATATGATAATAATTCAAATGAAAAAAACTAAAAGACATAACAGCTGCGTGGTTTGAACCCACATGCTTACAGACTTAATTAAATGCCTTATACCACTTTGCTATATTCATTGTTCATAGTCATTTTAAAAACAAATATAAGATATTAAAATTTAAACGCGTAGAACCCATAAATTTGCTGACGTGGATAGCTTTAAGAGTATTAGAAGTTAACTATTATAATATAGATTTCCTATTTAAATAAAGATTTATTCTGAAGTCGAATTTCGGGCAGAAGTATTTGAGAATAAAATTTTTCGGGCACGGGTACTAGAGCAAGCATTTGATTCAGGATTGGTAAAGCATTTGATTCAGGATTGGTAGGTCAAAAAAGAACTTTATAGTCTGAAGATCACTTATTTTTTATATATAATCAGGCCGCCGCCTCTCTCTCCCTCTGTCTTGTAGCTGTCGGAATCCTAATATGCTGAGAAGATATCTTGTGCGTCTTCTCGGATGTGCTTTCTTATAACTAAATTCATTTACTGGACTGCTGTTTGCTCTCTATAACTATCTCTGTTTTTTTTTTTTTTTAATTTATTAGAGGTTGCGCAATCCAACAATCGAAGAATTGTTTCCCTTTTTGTTGGGCAAGCCTTCAAAAGGATCCACTTTTCTCAAGGACGGCCTCGTCGAGTTAAGGGTAAATTTTGTTTTATCCAAGTTTTAATATTTTCTGTTCCTTTTCTTGTATCTCGTGTTTACCACCATATGAGAATTTCAATGAACCGGATTTTATTAAGATACCTCAAAACAGATTTGACTTCTTTAGTTTGTAATCATCATTGGTCTCTTTTGTTGAGTTTTGGTTGGTAAAATGCGCAGGATCAGAACACATCAGCAGATTTTATTTCGTTTTATGAAGAACTGTTGCCGTATGCTCAAACTCAGCAGTTAATTAAGCTGCATATAGAATTGATCTTCTCAAAACTTGTCTCTGAATTACAAATGGATGCCAGATTCTCTCTTGATCCTATCCTCAGGTTTGCTTCTAATGCTTATCAGTGTCCCTCCATTGTATTTAACCACACAACATCGGAATCACAGTCTGACCATTTTTTTTCTCTCTCTCTTTTTCTTTCCCACAGGTTGATTGCTGCTTTATCGGGAGATCTCAGGGAGGAGTTTGTTCCGTGAGTATTTCTCAAAACTATTTAATTCTTTGATCAGTCTTTGTCTATGTTTCCAACAATTTGTCTTTTGTATGTTTTTTTCTCTCTTGTCTAGCTTCCTTCCACGGGTTGTCAACTCATTAGTAATTCTCCTGAATAATGGTGGTCTGAAAGATGCAGAGACTATTGAGCAGGTTTTCTTTTGCTCTTGTGTAACGACATATTTTCTCACTCAGGACATTGCATTTTTTTTATTATTATTTTGAATTTTGCCTCTTTTATTTCATGCAGATATTTACATCCTGGTCTAAAATAATGGATTACCTAAGGTTTTATTTCGCAGGCGACATCCGTTGTGCTCTCAGGTAAATACACAACTCAATCTAGCCAGGTTTTTTTTTTTTTTTACTGCAGTGTGGATCTGTTCATGAATAGGTCACTCTGGTCTCAGTTGAGGATTCTTGTGGTTAATATATTGATGTTTTCTGTTACTTGCAGCCTTGTTTTGGCACAATAGAAATGTTGATTAGTTTATTTTCTTGTTATATGGATGAATATCACATGTTGTAGGTGCTGTCTAAACAGTATTGTATTGTATTCGTTCTTTTTTCATTTTTAATGTTTTAATTTTGGCCTTTGGTTAGAAATACATTGGAGCTGAGGTACTACCCTAGTGACATTGTCAATGAAAGAATGACAAAATCGATGGCATGCGTGGTGAGACCAGCTCGGCTCAGTCAGCTTGAAAAAGGTGATGAATTGCTTTGTCATTTGTTATATTCAATCTATTTGTTAGGGGACAGTGCAGTTGAATCTTTATCTCGTGAACATTTATATACAGGGATCAAGATGATCCTTTCTGAAGTTGCAGAGCAACCGGAAAGAGCTGCAAGAGCTGGTTTCCTCTATTATGATATGATGGTGAGGCTGCAGAGATCTTAAAATGAAGCGGCAAAACTATGAGCTGGTCGTCGGTTTCTTATAATCTTCAATCAAAACTTGACAATTTTAAATTATTTTTAAGAACTTAAATGTGAAGATTCTTAGATCTCTCTAGTACATGTTAGCTTTTGTTGTTATAATTTACTCTGTACTTCCGTTACAAATGATTCAAGATACAATGTTTCTGATAAAAAAAATTATTAAGCTGTTTTAAATGATAATGATTTTTAATAGAATGTTTAATAATTTCAAAACTAGTACTTTATAAACAGAAAATGTCAGATTACAATTCTATTGTTTTCTCAAGCCATTAATGTATATATCATTTCAAATATAAATTTACGCACACATACTTTTTGTTCGAATCCAAACCCGAATGAGTGGTATCGATCGGTTTTGGATTCCTTAAAGCATCTCCATCGGCAAATAAGGAAGTTTGATTTTCAATGTACCTTTTTAATTTTTTCTGTTTTATTTAAATAATAATAATAATAATAATAATAATAATAATAATAATAATAATAATCGAACCAGTTGCAGGATGCCACGTGACGTGGAATCCACAAAACAGTGATGAATTGGATTCATTGCAGAGAGCTCACAGGAGACAAATTTGCTGCTTTCAGTATTTTAATATTTTGTTGGAAAACGTGTGAACATACTCCTTTAGTTTCACTAATTGGGTGGTCTTAGAATGCCAATTTCATATTATACTAGATTAAGGATTAGAGTTTCAATATATCCAAAAACCGAATATAGATTCCCGCTTAACCGAAGTACACATGTATATATACAGGACCGGTCCTGAGCCAAGTCCAATGAAACATTGGCCTTAGGCCCCCATTTTTTGTAGGCCCCAAATAATAAAAATTCAAAAATGTAAACTCATAATTATGGATAACAAATCATATGGGCTTTAGGTTTATTATAGTTTTATTAAATTTTTAATTGATTGGGCCAAATAAAACACAATGACCCAATAAATTTTCAAACAAGAATTTATAAAACTAAAAATTTCTACTAGTTTTATGTGCAAGGTGTTTTTCTCAAAAACAATACTTATTATGTTTCTTTTTTTTCTAAGGGTAACTTATAAACAAAAGTATTGTTTCACTTTCACTATTCTTTTTTTACTATTTTATAAGTTTATTTTTATTATAATTTATAGATAATATATAGACCCCCATTTTTTATTTTGTTTCAAGTACCCAATTTTTCAAGACCGGTCATGTATACATAATATAGTATGTCATATGACATATTATATACATTAGTACATAGAGGAATTACTTGGAATGACCCAAATTGATCTTAAAATGACTATAATGACTCATATAAAATTTTAAATACTAGACCCTATTTTGTAACAAGCAAATGGACTAAAATACCCTTTTAATGTGTGCAATCCAAAAAAAAAGTTTACGAGGAAAAAAAAACATTAAACATAAAAGAGAAAATAAATTAGATTCAACATAAAAGAGAAAAATAAAATTGTTTCTCGGGTCTCTCTCTCTTTCTCGCACGACAACGACGATTTCGAAGGAGGGGATTCTTCGATCGAGTCTCGTCGTCGATCCTCTCTCACTCCGACACCATCGCCTCTGTCAGAAGTCCATCTCGTCGTCTTTGTCTCTTACGTCGCATCTTCCACAGACCAGAATGATGTGATCCATTGTTCTGTAAACAGAAAGAATGGAAGAAAGTGTTCAAACCACCATGAAAGGAACAACTTGAGAAAGAAGAAAAGAGGGGTGAAAGAGATGACGACAGTTACTAAAAAAATAATTAGCCCTAATTGTGGTCTTAAACCACTAGAAATAAACCAAAATCGAATTAATTGGAGT